AAATGATAATTCCGAAAGGAGAAAAGTAATTAGCGTACGCGGTAGTGAATCCCGAGACAGACGTCACGTGACTATGGCCCCACGTTGCATGCTGTTCTTCACTTCACATTACGTTACTTAGCTGGACTTGAGCAAGTTTTTTGATTCTCTGGTGTGGGCTCCACGGTAACACGGTGAATCTATGTCCGCCACGTTTTTGAACGTGCATCAGTAGGCCCCGCTTTGAACATGGACCTCCCTCTCTTACCTTACTTGCCCGCACGCACGATGCACATGCCATTTCTTTTCCTCCGCTTATTGCGCAGGGTTCCGCCACGTCAGCTCCAAGAAGATTACCACAATGCTCTACCTATAATAACAATATTAGAGGTGGCAAAATCATTAATCTCCCTGTTTTAGGGTCAAAATTCAAATATCTTTCAAATAATTTTCTTTCATGATTTAAAATAGACACGATTTACTTGGAATTATTTGAATTTTTGAAATAAAAAAATCAAAAAAAAAAGAAAAAGAAAAAAAGAAAGCCACCACTGAATTAATATGTAATAAATGGATGTAGATGAGGGTAAAATTGGAATAAAATAAAAAGGAAGGTTACAATGTCATTTCTTTCATCAACCTCATATGTACGTGACAACCAACCATGTAAATCAGTGCTTGGTTAGAAGACAGTGAGAGACCAACTATACAAACAAATATTTGAATTCATCAAATTAGGTAAATATTAATTGTTTAATTAATTAAACCATCCAATGAGATTTCAAATCTTAAATTAATATATGATAGTCAAATTACCCTACTCCATAGTCTAATTAAAATACAATGGATATGCCACTAACTAAAGCTACAATGACATTATTAAACAAATTAAAATACTAAGTTTTTTATTTTTTTATTTACCATACGTTACAATATATTTTAGCAATTCCTCGTGGTGGGATGAATTAAGTACCTCAATACGGCACATACTCATGTGACATTTCTTTAGGATTTATGTACATGACCGCATATTTCTTTACCGACACTTGCTTAATGTCGACTAGGTGAAAAAAATTAGTTATTATAATAAATAATCAAATACTAATTAAAAATTATTGACTATGACCCCAAAAAAATATGCTTGTCATATGATCCTAGCACACAATATTTTTGCTTGAAAGATGTTATGTTGATGATATGTAAGGTTTGTTTTGAAGGTTCATGGTTTTTTAAATTTAATTTATATAAAAATTGAGAATTGAGAGAAACCTATTTCATGTGTCGGTGCTATTTTTTAACTCTTATTACTATTAAATTGATCGTCACGACTTAACACATGAAATATATAACATGGTTTCCACATATATTTTAGATTGTTATTTTTTATTTTTTTATAATAAGGTGTTTGTTCAACAGTGATGGACAGAGCACCTTTCATCCCCTTAGCTTTGAAGGGAAGAAATTTTAAGAAATAATAATAATAATCAAATGTTTGATTTGATAATTCCAAGTACTTATAATTTGGTCAATAATTGAAATTCTCATTCACCATTACAAGTCAACATAAATATAACATAAAAACCTCAAGGGTTGGTCTGGCGATCAAAGAGGTTTACTCTCTTCCTTGAGTTCTTAGATTCGAACATTAGAGTCATCTATCACAATAACATTGTGACTTATTTGATCTTTTGGGTTATTTTGGTTTATCTGATCCTTTGGGCTTGTAGGGTGTTTAATGGACTCCGGAGATTAGGTGAGGTACGCATAGGTTGGACGAGATACCTCGGTTACTTAAATATATATATAATATAGAAAATTGAAAAGTACCTAACTTTTGACCCTCATTACTAATTGAATTGTATTGAATTTCCAAGAATTGGCACAAACCCACAATGGTAAATATGCAGTGAAGCCTAAATCATAATTGGGTTTTCACCGAAAATCACTTTTTTCAAAGGAGTTTTTCAGAAGTGATTCTAAGAGTGCAACCCAAGCTTATTTGGTCTTTTGGGTTATTGTGGCTTATCTGGTCCTTTTGGATTATAGGGTGTTTAATGGACTCCGAAGATTAGTTGAGATACACATAAGTTAGACGGGATACCCCGGTTACTTAAAAATATATATATATAACATAGAAAATTGAAAAGTACCTAACTTTTGACCCCCATTACTAATTGAATTGTATTGAATTTCCAAGAATTGGCACAACCCCACAATGGTAAATATGCTGTGAAGCCTAACACATAATTGGGTTTTCACCGAAAATCGTTTTTTTCAAAGGAGTTTTTCAGAGGTGATTCTAAGAGTGCAACCCAAGCTACATTAAAAGAAAAGGTTTCATGAAACCCAAAAACCCATATCAATTTTTCTTTTAATTTTATATAATTTTTTTTGTGGGGGAGTATTTTACAAGAAATTGATGCAAAGAGTAGAATTGAAGTTAGTTAAAAGAAGGGCAAAAAGAAATAAACTCATCATTTCTTATAGGCTAAGACCAAACATTCTTCTGGTATGCAATCACTTTTGTTAACCTTTTTCTCTAATTTATAATTCAACTCTAAAACTTTTTAACCATTTTTAAACCCAATTTTATTATTTGCTTTTAAAGCCTTTCCTTTTTTTGTTGTTGCCCACATAGATTTCTTGCTTTATTTGCCTTTAGTCTCAACTAAATACCATAAATGAAAATTATTTAATTCAAATAAAATCTTTTAATTAATAATAGTAACTAATTGGTAATTATATTAATGATAGGAATTAATATTTTGGTTTGGGGAACAAAGCCAAAATTATAAGCTGGTTGGCGAAGTAGGGACAATGAATTTATGATTAGAAAAAATAAAATGTCCCCCACCAATAATTATATATAATAACCACAAATTTTATTAAGTAGTGAAAATTTAAAATTGTAACCATGTGGGGACTGGGAGGGACCAGCTGCTTATATATCAATTAGTTGATCAATCAATGTTCAATTGAGTGGCTACAAATACTTTTTACTTTTGTCCATTTTTCAGAGTTGAGTACAGCTTCTTGTCACTGTTAAAAAAAAATAAAAATAAAATCAAACTGCAGTAAAAATAAAATTAAAAAATTTTGTATTTGAATTTTGGGTTTTGCAAAGATGAATCTTGTAAAATAATACTATACTGACTCATCATTTACACATTAATACGACATAAACGATGTGGTGTTTTGAAAAAAAAAAATTAGAATATTACTTAGAATAAAAAAAAAAAGTTCTGAAATATTAATTAATCACACAATTATCTATATATTATTTATTATATGGATGCAATGTGACACACACATAAGCTATTAGTATATCAAAAAGGAAAAATATATATATATAATAAAAGAAAAAATGGAATAAAATAATGAAAGGGTGTTTACATAATCTAATTAAAAAAGAAATTAACAATTTAAAGGATTAATGTGATTTAAATAAAAAAGCACTTAATTTATGAATGAAACTAGATAATTACAAAATAGTCAATTTTTTTTTAAAGAGGTTAAAATCTACTGTAATTTTGATATGAATTAATTTTATCATTATACAAGATATGATAATGATTTTCTCGGAAACTATTAAACTGGATATTTAATATTCTTAATTTAAGGTTATATTAATATATTCATATNATATTATTTATTGATGGATGTAATGTGACACACACATAAGCGGTTAGTATATTAAAAAGGAAAATTCAAAAAAAAAGAAAAAAAAGAAAAATATATATATATATATAATCAAAGAAAAAATGGAATAAAATAATGAAAGCGTGTTTACATAATCTAATTAAAAAAGAAATTAACAATTTAAAGGATTAATGTGATTTAAATAAAAAAGCACTTAATTTATATATGAAACTAGATAATTACAAAATAGTCAATTTTTCTTTAAAGAGGTTAAAATCTATTGTAATTTTGATATGAATTAATTTTATCATTATACAAGATATGATAATGATTTTCTGGGAAACTATTAAACTGGATATTTAATATTCTTAATTTAAGGTTATATTAATATATTCATATAAGGACATTAGAATAGTTAAGGGACAAAGAAGATTGTATATATCTATAGGCTATGTGAGTTTTGCTTTTGACTTATTTACAAGTCTACAGCTAAATTCCGTTGCAGCGTATAAGAAACGCGGTTTCGCTACACGCAAAGTGGACCGTACATTCAACTTTCAACAATATTTTTTCTCCTCATTTTCAATAATAAAAAATTAAATATTTTGGGATTTTAAGTTGTGATGAATATATTTGGTATTTAATGTGGAACGTTTTTCATTAAAAGAAACAAAAGTATGAATATCATGCGATTAGTTTGATAAATGAAAAAGGTTATAATTGATTTATATATTATATAAATTCATCATACAAGGAACTTAATATTACTGGATTTTCTGTTATTTTAATCTAGAAGGAATAGAAAATGTTTATTTTATTAAAAATGCAAAAAATGAAATTAGTGAATTATTAGACGCGTGTGGACACGCGCGGAGAAAGCAGTTAATTGTTCTGGCTTTTGGATAAACAAAAATATTATGCTTACTCACGAGTTTTACTAATCATCCTACTATCTTTATTAAAATTTCACATAGTACCCGTACTATGCGTTATATTTACAAAGGATAGTAAGATGGTTAGTAAGATGGTGAATAAGCATAGTATTACTCTTTGGATAAATTGTGGGTGTGAAACAACGGCGGTTAATAAAAGGATTAAATCCCCCCCACCCAGAGTCTTCAATGTTACAAAAACCCGAGAAACTGAGATAGAATTTCATTTTATTATTTTAATTTTAAATTAAATGAAAGTGGAGGTGATGCACACTGTGGCATGAATAATCCATTATAAATTTTTTGTCTGTGTGAAATAAATGAGTTAGATTTCAAAGTCATATTCGTTATATATACACATATATACCATAGATATAGCTACTCATTAAAAGATACTTACAGTNTACATTCATTACTACTACTACTACTACTACTAGAGCTCCAACAATAACAACAACAAACATTCCAAAGTTGTTTACTTCTTCTTCTTCTTCCTTCCGCAAGGTTTGTATTAATTCTCTCTGCAACATGAATTCAGAATTCCAGGTTACATTTGCATGCCAACATTTCTTTTTTCTCTACCGCTTCCTTCATAACTCTCTACCGCCTTTGCTTTTTACTGTATTCTTTCTTCTATCACTCCATTTTCTGAACCTTGTTAAGTCCTTTAATTCTACTTTGATTTCTACAATTTTTCTTCAAATTCAAACCAATTCTCTCCTTTTTACAATCTCTGCCACCGAATTTTGGATGAATTATGCGTTTCGCTTTCTTTTTTCAATCAGAATCTTCACATTTTTTTTAACTGAATTTGAATTTTTCACAATTCAGCTTGTCGCTTTTTAAATTTTTTTAAAAATGGCTTAATTTGGAGCAACCAACTTAGCTTTTGCAAATTAGCCTATTTGCAGTATCTGGGATCATCCGGTGCTATTATACGCCGAATGCGATTGTCACTTTTTATTTGAAATATTGTCCGTCATTTCACCTCAATTTGCGTACCTGGAAATTAAAAGAATCGATTTTTTTTGTTTTGTTTTTTTTCTTTTTTGCCTCCATTTTCCTTTTCAAATAGCTCCAAAATATTTCACAATTGAATTTAATTATTATAGTTATTTATTTAACTTTTTTCGGAAAACGAAAAAAACATAATAAACAATATGGACACTTTAACGTACATTATTATGATTGCGTTGTGCTAACATGCGCCACACGGCTATTGCGCTAGCCTGGCTTTCCTTATTTCAGAATTCACATACATTGCCCACCATAAATTTGACAACAAAATACTTCCATTGTTCACAACTTATTTTCTTTTCTCCCTTTCCGTCACTTTCGCAGGAAAATTTCTTCGTACAAGTAAGAAAGAAAGAAAGGAATCATGATTGGACCAAACTTCATGGATGAGATAGACTGCGGGAGCTTCTTTGACCACATTGACGACTTGCTTGATTTCCCAAATGAAGATATTGAAGCTGGGTTAGCTGCTGCCGATTCTAAGTCGTTCCCCAGTCTGTGGCCAACTCAGTCCGATTCATTGCCCGGTTCCGACTCGGTCTTCTCAAACAATAGCTCCACAGACCTCTCCGCCGAGCTCTCCGTTCCAGTAAGTTCAATTCTCAGCCGTTAGATATGTTCATCATGGTATCATTTACTGCCACGTGGAATATCCATTTTTGTGATATGATCATTTTTTTTAAAGAAAAAAGATTGAATTTTGTGTTAGGGGTATTTTTGTAATTTAAGTGGTTTCGTGTCGGCGATTGAGTGGAAGCCACTTCATACCTTGAATTATTTGGCAGATAGAATTTTTTTTTTTAATTTTTGGTTTTGTTTTAATGCAAGTCACGTGGTTGCCCATGTTACTACTTATAGTTAGTTATGCCATGTACAGTCGTGATTAGTTGGCAAATCGATTGCTGTCTTTGATTTTGCTTCATGTGTCAACATTTATTCATTTTTAATGTCGTTTAGTTAGAATTTGTTCAACTACCCAATTTAATTCTACAGATGAATCACTTAATTATAATAATTTTGTAATTTAATTAAAAGCTGGAACCTTTAATCTGATTCAATTTCTGTTAATTGTTATTGCAGTATGAAGACATTGTTCAACTTGAATGGCTTTCGACCTTTGTTGAGGATTCCTTCTCCGGAGGAAGCCTTACGATTAATAAACAGGTGTCGTCTTCCATTAACAAGGATGATTCATCCCTTAATCAGTTCCGGACGTCGAGTCCAGTTTCTGTTCTAGAGAGCAGTAGCTCCTGCTCAGGAGAGAAAAATTTGTTGGGCAGCCCCGAAACACTTGCCACAGGAAGACGAGGACGTGCTCGCAGCAAGCGTCCTCGTCCTGCCACTTTTAATCCTCGCCCTCCGGTTCAACTTATCTCACCGACTTCTTCAGTCACTGAGGCGCACCAGCCCTTTGTTGCCCCTAAGGTCCCATCTGATTCTGAGAATTTTGCTGAGTCTCGCCTTGTGATCAAGATACCGAAGCAATTTAACTCAGAGTATAAGAAGAAAAAGAAGATCAAATTGACAGTTCCCCAAGATTCTACTGAGAATAATCAAAATCAACCAACTCAAGCAGTTAGGAAATGCATGCATTGTGAGATAACAAAGACGCCACAATGGAGGGCAGGACCATTGGGGCCGAAAACCCTTTGCAATGCATGTGGGGTTCGTTACAAATCAGGCAGGCTCTTCCCCGAATACAGGCCTGCAGCTAGCCCAACATTTGTTCCGGCCTTGCACTCCAATTCCCACAAGAAGGTTCTTGAAATGAGAAACAAGGGCGGTGAGAAGCCTGCAATTGCCGGAATTGAGAAATGATAACCAATCTCAGGAGTTGATTCCAAATAGCAACAACCTCGCACTGGAGTACATTTGAGGGATAGGCTGAGGCAGAGAGCGATATTCCTAGTGGGGAATATTTCTCATTGACTTCCCTCACTTTTTCCAGTCGTAATATGCTATTTGCTTACTTATTTCATTTCTTCGTTCATTTGATTTTGTACAGGGATGAAATGGGGAATTAGGAACAGTAGATAACCAATATTTAGCTAGTAGAAGAGGAAAGAGAAGGATTGTAATGAGAGAACTGGAAAATGGTTAGGAGAAAGAAATATTCAGGGTAGTAGAGTTTTAGATTTAGTGATATGATTTAGGCCCTTAAGGTCCTTTAGATGTTGAGTTCTTGTGTTTCCTTCTTTTCTTTTTTGTTATTCTTTTTCTTTGTATCTTTTTCTTGTTCTTCCTTTTCATGGGGAATTCTTTTTGCAGTTGATTTGTTAGTAAATTTCTAACCATGAGTAATGCAATTTGAGAACTTTTGTCATATTGCTTATACCTTCTAAATCCCATTCATGATATATAATATTTGCTTGAAAGTTACAAGATTTTGGTTTAGAGTAATTCAATTTGAGAACTTTGTCATATTGCTATACCTTCTAAATCCCATTCATGATATAGAATATTTGCTTGAAAGTTACAGATTTGGTTATGGTAATGGTCCTCGGCAATTGGTTGGGGTTGATGAGATAATTGATGGGTTAAATAAATATCACAGTCAATGCAATGAGGTGGAGGTTGTTACCAGGGATTTGGCAAAATGTCCATTCAGACCAAACTCTTACCAAATGAAATGAAAGGAAATATTTCACCTCATCATCAATATCAATTATTAGTTATTTTCATAGTTAAAATCCCCTTTTTATGATTTTATTTTCTTTTAAGGAATGTTTCATGTTTGTTTAAACACTTCAATTGATGGAGATAGTAAAAAGCTTCCCCCTCCTATTGGGTTTCATTATCTCCATGCTTTGGAAACGCTATCTTGATCTTCACTATGCCAATGAATCAAGTTCCATTACCAAACCTTGTTCCGTAATGTCTTGCTTTATTATAGAATTCACCTCACGTTCGTTCGACCCAAGACCATTACCAATGCTCATACGAGGCTCAATTCATATTTAGAGGTTGAGACCCAAAGAATATATTAAGGGAAGAACTCTTCTCACTTAAATTCATATAATAGATAACCAATATATGATAGAGATAGGCAATAGAATTTTTATATTAGTCGGTTAGTTATAGATCACTTGCTACCCACGTTTACCGTGGACACGATAACTGGTCATCAGAGGTGTGTCCTTCCTAGTCCCCTCGTATAGGAAAAAGTCCTCTCAATGCTCTAAGCTCAAACCAGATATGGACTGAACAGTCTCACGTTCTGAACTCAATTCACGTACTGTTTAATGGGTGAACGCCCAACCTTTGGAACATACTACACCCCCAGGTAGTGAAGAGCCAACATCAAGGTGTCAAACCTTCTCGTCAATGTGAGCTCTTGGGGAAGAACAATCAGCTCTATCATCGGATCTACTTATATACATGTAAAAATAACTAGATTTCATTTGATTTGATTCATTCTCAGCATTGTATTAAACAATAATCATACGAGTTTTCTCATCATCACTACTTTATGAGTGTTTTACTTATTTTTTTGTGCTTTATGAGGCTTTTTACTTGTTTTTTTGTGTGCCATTTTAGGTTTACTTTGGTGTTTTAAGTTTGTGCATATTAAGTATGAGATGTTTTAGATGGGTTTCTTTTTCTACTAAAAATTGAGTAAGTAAAGACATTATATTACTGAATTTTAATCTCAAGTATTAAAAGTAATCAATCCATTATGTTCCAAATTTTATAGATGTGAAGCAATACTCTCTTGTAAAAGGCATTGAACCGCAAAACCTGCATATATTTTTTGTTTTGATGACCGAGGGTGCCCAAGCCAGTTTATGCACATCTTAACTAATCCCTATGGACTTTGGAACTACTGCTGAGTAAGAGCTCCCATGGCTGCATATATTTCAAACATCTTAAAACCTCTTTCAAAATCTACAGCGCTGAAGCTGAAACCTAATTCTTCACCTGGCCAACACTTCTTGTCACCCAAATTAAATGCTTTCAAATGAGCCGTAAGTTGTAAGCTGGGCTGGTTTAATCGGGCCTAGAGGACTAAAATCTGAGCCGGGTTTTGAGATTTTTGTGTGAGGGTCTGGGTCATGCGGGCCAAGCCATAAATAACCTGAAGAGCACATTGAACAGACTCACATTTACTTTTATATTTAACCGAAAAAAAAATTAAGATAAACAAAGGGCTGGTTATAAATAGCTCCATTGATCCTCTCCGTAATCCTCATTTCTCTGAGTGGGACTATGGTACCCTTAGAAATAAAGAGCTTCACTTTCAAAAGGTTAAAAAAAAAAAAAAAAAGCTTAAACTTTTGTCTATATGAGAAAATTGTTGTCTTAAAAATTATAAAAAAGGGTATTATTGAAATTAAGTTGAATATGTTGTATAATTAAAAGCAAAACCTCGAATTTGCATTATAATCCTTAGGGGGCGTTTGGTTCAGGAATGTTAGATTACTGAGAATGTTGGATTACTGAAAAGATAGATTATCTTAGAAGATTACTAGGAATATTTAAGAAAATGTGTTTGGTTAGTTGGTGGGTATGTTATATTAATATGTTTGGTTATGGGAGATAAATTGGTGGATATGTTATTTATATTACTAAATTGTCCCCCTTTTAAATATTAATATAATATTATTTTTATTATTAATTTTTGAATAATTTTTTTAACCCCCAATATTTCAGATTTAGCTAAAACACCCCTGCTTATATAAAACTTTAATTTATGATGAAATCACCCCCATCTCCTGCCACCACCACAAACCATCGCCAGAAGTCTCCGAAGTGACCAGGAGGCTTCAATATGGCTGTTTCCGGCCATATTGATGGCCGAAAACGACCATATCAGGCCAAAAATGTCCAGATCTGGCCTGATATGGCCGTTTTTAGCCATCAATATGACCGAAAACGGCCATATCGAAGCCTCTTGGAGCCTTCCACCTAATCTAAGTTCTTTTTCAGGGACTCCGGTGATTTTTCGACAGCGGTCCGTGGTGGTTGGCCCGTTGTCGGCGGTGGTGGCTAGGTGGCAGTGGTGGTCTGTAAATTATTTTAAATATAAGAGCATTATTGTCCAAAATTTTAATTAAACAAAGGTAAAATTGAAATAAGATATTAATGTAAATTTGTTTTAAAGTAGGGGTATTATTGTCCAAATTTTTTATTAATAAGGGATAAAATTGTAACAAAAAAAGATAACCCTGATAATCTCAGAATACCTAAGAAAATGGAAGTAATCAGATTACCTCCGATATTATCAATAGTAACCACTATTGGTATTTGAAGATTACCGGTATCTTATATTACTTGACAACCAATCATGATAATCAAGTAATATAAAATGACATTACCCCAATAATCTCACATAACCCCTAAGCAAACCCCCCTTAATGTATGAAATTCAGAGCCTAAGTTGTAAAAATAAAAAAGGGCTCGGTCCGTGCTTGTGAACTTAGCCCAAACCAAGCCGATGAGCCCTACAATTTTAGGGGATTTCTTGTGAAGCAATATCAGAAGCGACTTTCTTGAGTGGCCTTACAGATTAATTAAACAGAATCGTTAATAATTAAGCGGTAAGAAGTTGACCAAACGGGACTAATTTTAAATTGAAAGCAAAGGAAAATGAAAGACAGTAAGCAGCGGTCCCGCCGGCTGTGGCCACCAGGACCAGATGGAGCGGCATGCCAGCAGCCTCCGCCTGTATATGTGTTAAAACTTCAAACACATGTACCATTTAATGTTCGATTAAACTACACCCATTTGGACTCCTAATTTAATGCCTACTGCATCTTCTCCTCCTCCTGCTGTCTCTTTTGTTTTTCCTTTTGGCCGGTTACTTCTTACAAACCCCATTTTCCATTTTCAGTTTTTGCAATTACGGATAAGTATGAATTATGAACAGCATAGACTTTTGGGTCTTAATTCTCGTACCCAATAAAGATGTATTGAATGATTTTTATACATTTGATGTGTATTGATTAAGCTACGTACAATCTTTCAGGACCTTTTAAGTAATACATTCAAAAGTTTCAAATGAATTGTCAAAGTATTTAAAGGTAAAAGTAGTTGGCGTGTATTATCAGTATGTAATTTTCTTCCTCATCATCGTTATCTCTTCAATTTGTATTCAAAAGAATAATTAGTTCCTATAAACTTTTCCAGCTGCAAATAGCTCGTCAAATCCAATCTTTCCAAATTCCCACCGTCTCATAAACAGGATTCAACCAAATGGCATTAATTAATTTTTTACTTTAATATAATATTTCATCACATATGCCAATTAAATTTCATGTTAGCATCAATATACTATATTCCCATGAATTATCAGAGTTTCACATATAATTTTTATAAAAAAAATGGTGGAAAATGCTGCGTTACCAGGGGCTGTCCCTGGTTTCAAATTTTTATTTTTTTATTTTTCTGAAAAAAGGTGAGCCATTGGATTTGGTTGAATTTTGATAAATATTAATGTAAAATTTGAGCCTAAAAAAGAGACATAAATTGACCAAAAAAATGGTGACATAATTAAGTGTCTGGTGGGTAGGAAAAATAAAGGGACAAATGGATGATAATTATAAAATATTGTGGCTCTAGTAAAACCTCTTATCATAAATTCTTTTACTCTTGGCTGTTGGGCCTTTGTTGGATCAGTTCTTTTCATTGGGTCCATAATCATCAATGTTTTGAATTACCAATCCTCCACGTCTATGCCCACTTTAAACATAATTCTAAATTTTCATTATCCTTTATTTGTGATCAAAATATAATTTTCATAAAATAGAATATAATTTTAATTTAATAATTAAAAATTTGATTTATATAATTTTTTAAAAATATTTTTAGATAAAATTGATAGAAAACCGTGAAAATGATTTTTATTCAATTTTGATACACTACTATATCTAAAAACTGTTTTAAAAAATATTTCATCTCATTTCTATAAACGCATTATCACGAGATTTTTTTTATACCTTGTTTTTAAAAAAAAAAAAAAAAACTGTATTTAAATTCTTTATCGAACCAGCACTTAGTTTCTTCATTAAACCATAATTTTAGCAAAATTTTTGAATTTAAAACAACCAATAAGATTTACAAAAATCAGTTATTTTTAAAAGTTTTCTAGGATACCG